TCAGACACTTAACTCCATATTAATTGCAATTAAATGAAAATGTTTTATAGTTAAAATCATGTTAAAATGTCAGGTATTTACATAAATTTACAATTACACAATTGTAATGATTTTGCACAACTGAATACATTCAAAATATAATAAATGTACTATGAAATAAAAGACTACAGTTCAAATTATAATCAAGTACGTTACATGAGCATTAGTATGTTAGTCAACACATCAAAATAAATAAGTGTACATCTTTAAAGCATGACAAAAGATTAAAACATAATCGTTTAAAATGTACTTTAAAGTAAAACTTTTAATATGACATTATTAAAAGGTGCATTTTATAAAAGTGTATTTTAAGGGATAGTTCATCCAAAAATAAAAAAATAAATGTCATCAATTTATTCAGCCTCATGTCATTCCAAAACCTTAAGATTTTGGTAAATCCTTGAAACACAAATGACAATATTTGTATTGAAACCTACTGTAAAAGGATTCTGTCCCTTTAAAGTCCAGGTAACCGAAACTTAAAAGACCCAAAAAGGTCATAAAGTGTCATAAAACAAATCCATTCAAATCTAGTGGTTTTGAAGTCTTGTGAAGAGATATAATCTCTTTAAGTGGTCTTTTATTTCATTATTATTATATAATCTGCAAGTACAGTTTTTTAAATATACTTTTAATATTTGAAGTACTACAATTGTGCATTCAATACAAGTGCACTGCTTTTCACACAAGCTAGTTTAAGTGCTGTTATCATTGTACATTTTTCAAGTTATCACACAAGTTTAATCTAATAATATGATTTAAGAAAAAAAAAACGAAATGTTAGTGTTACTCACTCAGAGATTCCAGGTAAAGGTGGACAAAATTGATTCGATCATCCTCCACGGTCTGATGAGGCTTTGCAGGTACGTTCAGATACCCATAACGCTCCTTGTTGCACAAATACATTTGAACCTCTGTTTCAAAGAGTGAATCATATCAGATAAATAGTGTCAGAAATTTCACTCGCTCCGTCTCTTTCCAAGGCTATCTGACTGTCAATCCTAAAAAAATGTTGCAGTCAGTTGGACACAGGGAAGAATTTTTCCCTCAATCCCTCCAAACTAAATCCAAATGTTAAACTCATCATATTGCATAATAGAAATGAGATCTGCTGGAGTCTTCCAGAAGGGGGCGCCATACCCGATATCCTGCAGGAGAAGGCAAAAACGATGATGTCGTCAAAGGGCCAGGAGTAGTCTTTGTGAGGGGGGTGAAAGGACACTTTCTTGGTGCCCTCTTTGCGCAGGTCCAGCAGAATAGTGGAGTGGACCATCGGCACAGGATAGCAGCCCCGCCTTTGCCTCTGCTTTGTGGGGAAGTACTCAGCAGTACGACGATAATAACCCTGAGACAGACAGAAAACTGAACTACACAGCCAAAGGACAAAGTGTTTGAGCAAACGGACCTATAATGAACTATTATCCTCAAATGTGATGTTGTATTTCTTAGGAGATCCTCACTTAAACTGAATTGTTTTGTCACACTGTTTGAGCACAGAATATCTGCTTTGTGAAATGTGATTAATTTGAATCAGTTTGTTTGGACAATTCATGTAAATCAACCTATTTAAAAATGAATCACAGATTCACGTTTCCACCATGCACAAGTTCCAGTAAAACTAAAAATATTTAGTTACATATTTAGTGAATGCTGTAATGCAGATAAATATTTAGGTCAATTATTTAAATTACTGCAAAAATAAATCTTTACTGTTATACTGTATGTATAAACGGCTACTGAAACGTTTGGGTCTAATAAGATTTTTTGGTAACACTTTACAATAAGGTTCCATTCGTTAATGTTAGTTAATGTATTATCTAACATGAACAAACAGTGAACAATACATTTATTACAGTATTTATTCATCTTTGTTAATGTTAGTTATTGAAAATACTGTCGTTCATTGTTTGTTTATGTTAATTCACAGTGCATTAACTAATGTTAACAAGCACACATTTTTAATAATGCATTAGTAAATGTTGAAATTAACATGAACTAAGATCAATAAATGCTGTATAAGTGTTGGTCATTCTTAGTTCATGTTAACTAAAGTAGTTAACTAATGTTAATGAACCTTATTGTAAAGTGTTATCGATTTTTTTTAATGTTTTGCATTTATTTGATGGCAAAATACAGTAAAAACTGTAATATTATAAAATATTATTACAAATTAAAATAACTGTTTTCTATTTGAAAATCTATTTTAAAATGTAATTTATTCCTGTTATGCAAAGCTGAATTTTCAGCATCATTACTCCAGTCTTCAGTGTCACACGATCCTTCAGAAATCATTTAATATGATGATTTGATGATATTATCAATGCTATAAATTTTATATTTTCTGTTCTTTGATGAACAGAGAGTTTAAAAGAACAGCATTTATTTGAAATAGAAAAGATTATAAATGGTTTTGCTGACCTTTCTGATAAATTAATGCATTTTCACTGAATAAAAATATTAATTTCTTTAAAAAACTCACATTACTTTTGAAGTATCATACACACACACACACACACACACACACAATGAAGTTGGTTACTTTTCATTACTTTGACTATAGTTTAATATCACCAGTAGTCTATGAATTCAAAAGGTACATTTTAAAGTAGTTTCTCCAGTGCTGTTATTATTATACAGCAACAGTGGAAGCAGATATGGCCACTTTATTGATGTGGCATATTGCAAGATGAAACGTTAGCTATCACTCATTGTGTTTTAAGATCATGCACATGTACACACACACACACACACACACACGCTTCCAAGCTGGAAATTCATTGCATTGTACCTGTGGAGTGATGCCACACCAGTAGTTGGAGTACGCTGACTGTGAGTCCAGCATGGGGGCAATGACTGACTTATTCTCCGCCATCAAGAGGTGCAGTGCGTTCGGGTTAGTCAGGATGTTGTCTGTGTCTGAATACTGCAGATGAGGAAATAAACACAAAGAATGACATCTGATAACACAATCCTAATGATATAATTTAATAGGTATGATATTAGCAAATATAAAACATACTGACATGATATGAGCAAAAATAATTTGAGTGCATTCCAGCACTATTCACATTTCTGGCCCCAATAAGATCTGAACCTCCATGATCTTTGAAGAATTTTGACCTGGTTGTATTTTTTTAATATTCCTGTTATAGATATTTGGGTGTGTGTGATCCAAAATTGGGGTGTATAGGCTCTAACTGGGTCATACCAGAATGTAGTCAGCCCAGCGTTTCTTGGAAAAGTTCAGCGCTGCCTGTTTGAGCTTCATAACATACTCATAGCGGCCATTAGTCCAGTGCTTGGGCCCCAGCTCACCTACATAGGATCTGTGTGGATAAAACAAATCAATTCAAGATTCATTGGTAGTACCTAAATGTCAAAAACCTTAAAAAACAATCCCAAAGCATTTTTTAAATTGTGGTTTTAACAGGATAAAGTATCTGCCATATGTTCATGTTGTGTGATGTTCATCTCACGTGGGTTTTTCTAAAGGTCTCCACTCCACATAATGATACTGTGTTTGCATGACTGTGAGCCATTCTCGCAGGATTGCTGTTGTGTTGTCAATGTTGTGGTCTGTCGCCGCCCTACAGGAAACATTAAGCAGAGAGCAGGAATTAATTGGTGTCAGTAAATTGCGTCCACCTGAACACATACGAAGCCACTCAAAAGATTGTACGTTTTTGGCCACGCTTTATGATACAATGCACATACATTACAGACTTCCATAAGTATATATGTGAACATTTATATGCATTTATATGTTTGCTATAAAGTCATGTGGTGCAACCACCATTCATAAATAATACAGGAAAAACAACAGGAAGTGATATCATATAGAGAAAACCCTCATGACTTTGACCTTTTTATGGAAAGGCAAAGTTAGTTCAGGATGTAAAATGTCAAGTGGTGCAACTCCTCCAAAAATTTAATGATATTTATGAATTTACATGATGTTTTAAAAATACTTTGTATACTTTGACCTTTTTATGGAAAGGCAAAGTTAGTTCAGGATGTAAAATGTCAAGTGGTGCAACTCCTCCAAAAATGTAATGATATTTATGAATTTACATGATGTTTTAAAAATACTTTGTACCTTTTGAAAAATAATGATTACGTGTGCACTGATTTATTCAAGGAATAAGGAAAATATTGTACGGTATGTCTTGATAGTAAATAAATTTAAACTTTAGTTGAAAAGGGTTGAAAAGTTTTAAACTGTATAAAACAAACATCAACTTGGCATTCGTGTTTTAAACTAGAATTTTCAGTTTCTTTAACTTGGCCACTCTTATTTGTCTTTGACTTAAATACTGAGAAATACAAATTAACTACAAGAACTAACATGTAATAACTACTTTTTATATTTGTAATGTAGCATTAGACTTCTCCTGTCCATTTAATCACAAAATACACTACTTGAAGCTACTTTAAACGTTAAATCGTGCACTACATAGAGTATTATTTTTACCTAGTTTATTTTCTAAATAGTATGCGCTAGAAATAAATTCAATGCATTAATGTGCATAAATACACAACATACAACCCAAACGTTATTAGCTGGGGGGGATCTGCTTTTGGGGGAAAGTCTGAAAAAGTCAAGGGGAGGAAGTGATTGAATGCAAGTAACATTTACATTTTGACATCTACAAATAATAAGATCATCAACAAGCTTAAACGGCAAAGAAGGAAGTCACCAACCAGATAGAGATGCGCTCTTTGGGATAGTTTAATCTCTCGAGAGCTCCGAGGTAGTAGGGTAAAGAATGAGCGGCGTTCCGTGCTATTATTGCTATAATGACTGTGGGCGGCTGCATCTTTGACTCTTCAGTATAATTTTCCTCTGAAAAGTAACATTGTGCTACCGCAAAAATGGTCCAAACACTTATAATCCCAGATAACATGGTTGGATTTCGGTGGTCCTCTGCGTCGTTGCACAAACAGTCCCATCCGCGTCAGCAGCTAAAGAGGGCTCTTCCCTAAACTTCACACTCCCCTTCAAATCTCCGTTCTCCCCGGAGGAGCCAACGTGTTCTGTTCCGTTCTGTTAGCTGGGTTTGAGTTACAACTTCCGTGTAAGGATTTGTTGTCCGAACTGTTACATTGTATGTTCAGTGTAACATTTGCATTGACTGTTATTTATAATGTTTCACCAGAGCACATCGACGTTCTTTTCTAAAGCCCAACTGTTACATTTTAGATTGCTAAAAGTTGCGTTAACGTTTCGCTACATTGTTTCACTAGCCAAAATGTTTCAGGGCAGTATGCTGACGTTCATTTAGGGTTTTTCGTCACACAGAGCAACATTGACTTTCTTTTTTCCCGTTTTTGTGGCAACCAAAGAAAGAGTCTGAACCACCTCCATTTTAGAGTTTAGATTTCCTTCAACTTTTTTCGTTTGCTTTCTGTCTGAAAGAACAAAATGAAGAAATAACAGTTTGATCAAGTGTAAACAACTGAAACCACATCATCAGTGTGTCAGCATAAATCTGCTATCGTACATTATTAACAAAGCTAATACACATAGCAAAACACATTATGTAACCGCTTAGATGGGAAACTTTCTAATTTAACAAAACAATCACACAAAGTACAAGCTGCTTCTATCATTAAACGTTTGCATACAGTGAGTGAACAACCACAAGAGGGACATGTTGAGCTTGTTTCACAAATGAACCAGCTGGCATTTTAAAGGGATAGTTTACCCAAAAATGAAAATTATGACATTAATTACTCAACCTCATGTCATTCCAAACCCCTAAGACCTTCGTTCATCTTCGGAACACGAAGATATATTTGATGAAATCCGAGAGCTTTCTGTCCCTGCATAGACAGCAATGCAACTTAAATATCCCCAGGCCCAGAAAGGTAGTACAGACAACGTTAAAATAGTCCATGTGACATCAGTGGTTCAACCATAACGTTATGAAGCTACACGAGAATACTTTTTGTGCTCAAAGAAAACAAAAATAATGACTTTATTCAATGATTTCTTCTCTTTCGCGTCAGACTTTTTGTCACACGTTCACGACAGTAACACGACGCATGCGTGTGTGCATTCCTCTGCTTGTAAACAAGGCTCAGTGCATCTGGCTCCTGCGTCAGCAGCATCACACGCATGCGTGGTGGGTGGTACTCTCGTGAATGGTAGCGGATTCTGACCCGAAAGAGAAGAAAGTGTTTAATAAAGTCATTATTTTTGTTTTCTTTGTGCACAAAAAGTATTCTCGTAGCTTCATAACATTACGGTTGAACCACTGATGTCACATGGACTATTTTAACGATGTCTTTACTACATTTCTGGGCCTGGGAACGTTTCAGTTGCATTGCTGTCTATGCAGGGTCAGAAAGCTCTCAGATTTCATCAAATATATCTTAATTTGTGTTGATGAATGAAGGTCTTACGGGTTTTGAACGACATGAGGGTGAGTAATTAATGACAGAATTAATATGATATGTCTCCATTGGTTTGACATTGAAAGAGCTATTTTTCCCTATTATGTGAAGCTAAAAGGATAGATAGATAGATAGATAGATAGATAGATATCAAAACTTTTGGACCACCTACAGATGCCATGACATAAAACTTACAAATGTTTCACAGGTTTGTAAAAAAAAAAGGATGCTGCTGTGCTTTAACTCAACCAAAGCACTTAAAAAACTCAATATTGATTCCATCTTTTACTGGTTGTTGATCTACAAAGGAATGTAAAATTGATCAGTGGCCATCCACACTATTGAGTTCTTGTCTTTATAAATGCTGAGACGCTCCTCACAGAGAGATCCAGTGAAAGCGAGAACCTCAACGAGGAGATGCACCTGAAGAGCAAAACCTTGGAGGGTGTAATCAGAAAAGAAAACAGCCAACAAAGAACAAAGAGATAAAGGCGCTGAGAGAGTAAACGGAATACGGTTGGCATCCAGCTAAACTGATTTCAGAGGCTTTCAAGTTGCCCTGCTATCATTGGCCAGTCGCACTGCCTGTAACAATTAAATTAGCGCTGTGTTCAGACCTGGTCCGGAGACTTGGGTCAAAGGGAGTGTCGTTTCATGGGACCCACGCCTACCCCTCCAACCCCTGGCCCTCGGAGGGCACTTTCCCAGCGCCTTCAGCACAGCCAACCCTGAGAGAGTTCACCTACATCCCAACTAACTTTTCACTGCTGGGTCAAAGGGCTGAGGAGCAGGGCAGCAGGGTGTGGCGGGGGGTCGAGGGCACACAAGACAACTAGTCTGGGCCCAAACATTTATTCAGAGAAGGTGGGGGCCATTTTCCCCCCTGGACAACATTGATTAAGCCACTTTATCCCATGCCTAGTGGGGGGTCTACCATGAGCCTATGGGTATACGAAGCCATGTGGCATACAAAGTAAAAGGTGGGGGGTGGGGGGTCCACTGGTCCTAGAACCTCCACAGAATCTTTTTTTACCGGGTCAATCAAAATCCCCAAAAGGGCAGCTGTGACACTATGGGAAAGCCTCAAACTTCGGCCAGCGTTGTGATAATCAATAACATGTTCCCATACAGACGTCTCACGGCTCATCAGCTCAATAACTGTCACTCACGGTCCCACGCTCAGCTTAATCACGCAAACTTACTCAGCAGACGTGAAGTGACAGGCCAACACTGAATGAATGTCAGTTTGTGAAATTAGTTTGAATCTTCACTGAAGCATTTTGGGAGGTTTGGTTTGTAAAAAGACATCAGCTCTGTTCTGAATGGAATACAAGCATACTGCTTACTGCAACAGTAGCATGCTAAATGCAACATAGGCTCAATGGAAAAATGTGATTCTACCTACATCTTTGCAAAACTCAAAAAAACATACGTATACCTACAATTTACTGCAGTTTCCAGCTGAAATTAACATTAAAACACTAACATTTATTGTTTTTCACACAAATTATGATTGCAGGAGCAGATTATCAATCAGTAAAGGCTTATTTTTGCACGGCGTATGTCCACTTTGTGCCTTATATAATTGGAATCCAAAATATTTATCTACAGTTTCACTGTTGTCATGAAAAAGTTTGTGCCATTTTGGAATTTTGAAAAACCAACTTTTGCTAACTCCTCCTTGATGTTTATTGAATCTTCACTGAGTTTTGCTCAAATAATCTTCAGACAATGAAAACTTAGGCTACACCAGAAATCACATACTTCCCTACTGTATAGTAGGAGAAAAACAGTATGTGAAAAGTGTAGTATGTTTGAATTCACAGTATTTATACAGTAGGCGAAAAGTCCCTGAAGTCCTACTCTCGGTTAGACTCTGAAGTGGGCATCTGATGGACACTTTATTATCCCATGAAGCCATGGAGAGGAGTTGTGAATGGAGGTGAAGCGACTGGTAGGTCACATCACATATGCATTCATACTATATATAATATAGTATATTTTTTAGCGGTTGCAAAGTAATCACTTATTCAAAACAAGTAGCTACTCAGAGAGCATGCGATTTTGGATGCATCAAAATCTAGCTTTTCATCATGAGATAGTGTTCTTCTCTTTTTTGTATACTAGGAAGTTTAGTACACTCTAAGAAAATGTAGCCTACTGTGTTAATATGAAGGAATTTTCAGTATTGATTTTTTTTTTTTTTACCTGTATTTTGAATTATGCATTGCACTTAGTATGTTTTTTAGGGTTGAAGGAAATGTCCATAAATTTAACAGAAAATGGTAATTTTCTGCCAGGACATTATCTGTTTGTCTATTATTTTTATTATTTTTTTTCTTACATTGTAGGTCATCAGGGTATTCAATGTATATAGAAAACGTACATGCTGTTTACGGCAAAAATACGAGAAGTCCACTGTAAAAAAAAAAATATATTTTTATAAGTAAATATTATTGGAGTATGTTTTACAAGAAAATACTATTTCAGTTTTTTTTTTATTTTGTGTTGTGTTACTTACTATTCCTTTGTAATTGTTTGTAAAATTTACTAGCAATATCTGAGTGAAAACCGTTTCTACACAATTTTTCTTTCCAGTGTATGGTAGAGTGGAATTTTGAACATACTCACCACTTTCTGAAGCTCAAAAACGTTAGTCTGACTAATAATACCACCAGCACTACTGTGAGAGTGAAATGCATTTCAATTATTTACTATCTTTGTGGCTGATAATGCAAAAAAGATACATCTTAAGGAAGGAGAGCTACTGGGGATGTGTTGATAGTATAGATAAATTGACTGGTAATCAGACCATTGGGCAGCTCATATGTTCCCATTTGGACAATACTGCAGGATGACCAAAGCACTTAGACGAAATTGCCTCTATAAATCTATAGCAGTTGTAGTGATTTTGTTCCATCAGTAGAGTGGGATTCAGTGACACATTTTAAAGCACGTGCTTTGCTTACACTTCTGCAAACCATTGCTTTTTTATATTTAAACAATAATGTGCTGTTAACCCTCATGTGGTGTTCGGGTCCTTTTTGCTCTGAAAATTTTTTCTTTTTCCCGAAAATACTAGTTAATGTTATCGCATTGGACTGAAATTTTGTGACTTTGTTCACAAAGGGTATAACTACTTCTAAAAAAAATTTTGATAATTTTCATACTTTTCTGGGGGAGATTTTTCACCTTGTTACACCCGTGATGTTACAGAGCAAAAAGGACCCGGCCTCAAAAAAATGCTTATAAATCACTCATTATGCTATATTATCACCAAATATTGGATTCAATCTTTTTGTCAACTTCTTTTCTTTCATTTAGGACTGGTTTTGTATTTATATTTGCTTCTGATTAATCGTAGGCCTCATTTATCTGAGAGTAGGCACCTCATTTTTTGAGTGAAAAAAGCATTATTTATGAATAATTTTCACAATATTAAATAAAAACTGATGAAAATTTGCACTGTTTATCGCACTAGTGTACTTTAATGTTTAATCAGGGAGTTTGCTTTTAAATGCTTTTATTTTGTACAAAATGACACAAAGTCACACTTGTGGTGTTCCAGGGCAAAAATGACCCGGCCTCAAAAA